AGGACCGGTGTCCTGAGTTACTGGAACTCTTCCATCAGACCAACACCAGCATCAAATTCTGTCTGACACAAACAACAGCTTAGATGGAATTTAATCTTTGACTTTAAGTCTGCCTCTTTATTCTCTGAAGCAAAGTTTAATCAATTTGAGTTTGTAAGAAATGTTGTTTAAAACTTTCTGTTGGAATTTTTTCAGGCAGATGTTTGATGGTCAGGTGGGAGGTGTTTGATGAAATAATGTGGAATGACCTGTACTCAAGTGATGCGAGCGGCTCGTAGAGACAGAAACATGACTGCAGAAGGATGCTGTAGATCGAGTAGCTGATATATGCAGTCCTGGATCAGGAGACTGTGTGAAATCAGATCTGATTTATTGAAATATAAAGAAAACATTAAAGTTAAAGATACACAGATATTTACAATTAATCTGATTCTGCCCACTCAGATGATGATGATGATGATGATGCAACAAACCCGGGCATGTCTCTTCATTTGCACCCCAAGCTAAGTTATGACAGGTAAACAAAGAACTGACAGAGTAAAGAAAAATATACAGAAAAACTGAAGCAGCCAAATCTCCCGAGTGAATCTGCAATGCTGTGACATCACAAGAAGCCTCCTGTCCACCTGCACATGTCAGTCTCTGTCCAGCTGCTCTCACAGCAGCCAGCAGAGGCACAAAGGGTTCAGACTCTCTTTATGATGCAGTTTCATGCATCCCATATGCAACCCTCACCTCCATCACCAGGGCAGTGGCAGTTAGAGCGTCCACTTTAAACACCTGCAGAGACACACAGGAGAAAAAAGATGTTGTCAAGCATGAACTTTGGTCAGGAGATTTTCCAGTTTCTTCAGACGGTGACATCACAGCGCGTCAAAGAGCATTTAAAGTCTGTTTAGACCTGCAGCTCCCTTTTCAATGAGCCTGATCCTGCAGATAATCTCCGTATCTTAGAGATGGTGTCTTCGTTCTGCTTGTAGTGGTTCCAGTTCTTACAGCAACCCTCCAAAACTGAACCAAGACCATCAAAATCGAGTCCATCCAGTCACAAGAGGCGGCCCTTTTTTGGAGAAGTAGCTCGCTGACATGAGGTAAACTTCTGACCTGGTACATCGTCATGGTAACTGATGCTGAACATCTATCTAACCTGAGCAACCAGATCTCTGAAAAACATGTGGTGTGTTTACCTCGTCTCTCTGTGTGTGCACAGACACTTGGTGCTACAGTAGCGCCCCCCGCAGGTGGTGCAGGTGTAGTGCGACGGGAACCCGCAGACGCAGCAGAAGTGGCGTGCAGGTAGCAAGGAGGGCGGGGACGCCGCTGACAGGTAGTTAGGCTCTGGCTTCTCTGAGAGATTCTACCAATCAAAGGAGAGGAGACAGTGGGTCAGCTGACGACCATCTTTCAGCCAATCAAGAGAGAGGAGAGAAGGCGTCTGACTCACCTCCTCCTCCAGCAGCGTGGTGAAGTTCTTCCTGAAACGCTGCTTGAAGTGGTCGCCCCTCGTCTTTCTCTTCTTCTTCTCTGGACGCACAGACAGAGAAGAAGGAGGACAGAGAATGTTTAGAGGATTTTTTTGGAAGATTTTTAATCACAAACACGTTTCCTGCTATGGACTTTTCAGTTTTTAAATTGGTCGGTGTGGTGACAATGGAAAAATATTTGCAGGTTTTTAAACAGGATTTGATCTGGTTGTAATTTACCACTTCTAATCACTACTGTTGGGCCAGCTGTGGCTCAGGAGGGAGAGTGGCTCATCAGAAGGTCAGTGGTTTAGACCTCAGCTTCTCCAGTTTGGATACCAAAGTA